TCCCTGTGAAAAACTCGACAAAGGTTTAGGGTGGATGTGCTGAGACCGTTGCTTATTGTGCTTACCCATACCGTCCTGGTGGGGTTTTTTCATCCCCCTCTGGCTGAATCTGTTCTTTCCTGGCTTAAATTTAAAGCCTTTGCAGCTGGGACCATCTTTTAATTCTGTGATTGCACAGCACCAAGTGCAAACGCTGGCTCTCTGCAGGGCTACACAACACGATAGCAGCGCAAAGAAATACGCTGTGAGACCTGCCGCTGGATAAGAATAATGTACAAATGAGAATAAAATGTCCATACTTTGCAGGAAAACAGATCTTCCACTTCAAAGGCATCTCTTACTTGTAATTTTCAATGCTGAAGAAAAGAATTCCACTCCCTGTTGTTTTGCTTATATGTATCTTGTTCTGTGACTGCTAAATAATGGTAAAAAGGAAAAAAAAAAAAAAGAAAAAATTCTCAACTCGTGTCTCTCTGCCTTTCCACCTTAGATGACAGAACAAAGGAAGAATAAGCAGAGGCTGGGCTTTCTTGGATCAAACACACCCCATGTGAATCATCACATGCCACCACCCTGATACCACGGGGAGAAGCCGTGACTAGCCTTTCATCAGTATTCCTGCTTTATTATAGAATAAAAAGCTGAGATTGAGAGGAGTGAACAGTGCCTATTGTTACAAAGTTAAAAACAACCAAGTGCCAAGATGTTAAGTGGTTTAGCTCTGGGAACAATTTGTAGCTGTTTTTCATGGTTGAAAGGGACCGCAACCTAGAATGCGAGAGATACAAGGGAGCTCGTTTGTGTTCGTTCACGGGGCCCGACTCCTCAGCTGCGTTTGCACTCCGCGACTCCATGGCTTCGGTGGTCGCTGCCGGGTGCGACGGAGGTCGGGGCAGCGTTTGGCCGCGTCCTTAGAGCTGCCCTCAGACTTCTCCCTAAAGCGCTGGGATAACCAAGATGAACAGAAGAAGGAGAAATGTTTGTTAACGCAAATACGACAGCCTGGTTCAGAATCAAGAGAAGTAATTTCTGGCTTATTTGCCAAATAGCAACATTAGTCACATTTGCTTGGCATTTACTATTTTTTTTAATTACCGTAAATATGTCGGTTGGGTGAGCAATAATGTTGCTTCAAGTAACTTCTACTAGGAGGGAAAGGGGCGAAACCTCAAAAGACTGAAGGAAAAAAAAAAAAAGAAGAAAAAAATAGAAAAAGAGTTGCAAAGAGAAACATTAACGCTTTTGAATTTTAGCTGTCACCATGCAATTTCTTATTTATAATGTGGAGCACAATGGATCTACAGCTGTGGGAATGTTACGCACGTAACACTGACAACATAACTGGAAGTGATTTCTTTCTCCTGGCTTCAGATGTTCTCGATTAATGTGGCCATGAGATTTCACATACTGAGGAGTTAAACTGTGTTTTAAATTCAAGTGCCAATGGAGGATTCAGGGGAAAAAAAAAAAAATTATACCTGCAGTTTTTTTGTTTTTTTTAAAAAAAGCTTAGAAATGTCTTTCCGTATGGAGCTGTAATGGTCTCATTACCTTCCATAAACTCATCTTCAGTGAGAGCTGACTTGGGTGAATAAGCACCATAGCCTGCCAGCTTTCTCCTGAGCTAAAGCTCACGGGCTTATGCCTTTGCCTGCCCTTCCTCCTTTCAGGGGCTTGCAGGACTGGCCTGGCTGGTGGGGGACGGGGGGCAACGCCGGAGGAGCTCCTTCCAGCTCCAGGCTCTACGAAAGGCGGCAACCGAGTCAGCTGTGCAGGTTTCTGCTGTATCCTATATTTCCTGGGATGGCTTTGGCTTTAAAAGAAAAGTCACAGGGTTTCCACAGAGCCCAAGAGGGTTCTTCTCTCTTTTAGAAGAAGATTTTGGGAGCACAAATGGGAGTGACAGTCCCAGTTCACTTACGTTGTCAGTGGGGTTTGGGTACCTAATTGTCTGAAAATGCACCTCCGTTACATGGAGTCACTTTTTAAACAAAAATATTTTTGCAATGATTTTCCCCCTGTAACATGTCGATTTTGTTATAAAAGTCATTTTGATCAAAGGTGAAAATATTATTTGCTCCACTATTTCTAGTTTCTCCCTGAAGAAATGCTGTCATCTTATTTAACGCAGAATTCAAACCAACAGCCCTAGAGCAAAGGGAAGGAAGGGGCATTTCCCTCTCTTCATCCCAAATTCCAACCTGTTCTTGGAAGCCATCTCATTTTTTTTGTGCCAGTGAGATGGCTGAGATGATAGAAATAATATACTTTAGGGTCTGATTCTTCTACCATTAAAACATTTCCCGTTGGCTTCAATTGCGTCCTTCAAAAATACTGCGTGGAAGGCAGGATTTGTGTAGTTTGTGGAAAGAAAAATCCTTCTGTTGACTTCCCTGTAGTCCATAGAGCGTTGCGGTTGTGAGAGGTGATGGCCATTTCCAGGTTTAGGGTCAATTTTTCCTCTAAGAAATTCTCTCAAATCCAGCCAGCGCTCTGCCTCTGTGTGCGAAGGCGAAGAGCAAGTGGTGGCTATCATCAGAAACGGCAGAAGGCCAATGAAAGCGAGTGGTGGGAGACTAAATTTTCCACAGGTCCTCCGTGGGTGTTGGGCTCGCGGCCTCGCTGCAGCCAGCCGTCGGCTGCTTCCCAGGCAGAGGGAGAGCGTGGAGGCAACGGGAGCTGGCTGAGCTGGTCCGTAACCGCGTGCTTGCTTCCGAGGCTGGAGTTAGCTTTTGCACTCCAAAGACCAGAAAACAGTCTGGCCTTGCGAGAGCAGAGCACGTGCGGCAGCGGCACGGGGAGGTGATGGCAGGGGAGCTGCTAGGTCAGAGCGGAATACAGAAGAGCAGTTGTCTTCAATGAACGACTGAGATATTTTAGGAATATATCCTGGAGCGTGCCTTTCCTTCAAGCTTACTGTGTATGAGCTTTTGATGCTGCTGTGCCAGCATCGCCGTGGTGGTGAAAACCCCTTCTGTAAGGCTCATCCGTCCGTGAGGACGGGGCCGCGTGTACCGCTTGGTGTTCAGCACCAAGAGACTTGCAGTGAATCGATTCTGGGAGTTTGCATCAGCCACGCGCCCGTGCAGTAACCAGCCGCCAGTGTAAGATAAAGCCAGATTTCCCTCTCTGACTAGACCTGTTGTAGATCATGAAGCCAAAGGAATTGCACGCAAATGGAAAGTCAGCGGTGAGTTGGTAAAGAATCAGACCCTGCAGCTGGATTCATTCAAATTAGTTTATGCTGTTTATCAGATCTAGTCACAGCTTCTGTTTCAACAGCAATTTCCTCTTCCTCACACATAGGCTTATTAGAGGCATAAAGCACAGTTTAATGATAGGATGCACGATCACTATTTATTGGGGGGTGGGCAGTTGGCTAATACTGGAAGTGGTTGGCACTTTTCTTGTTTACACCTGCAAAAAGCAGCTGAACTGCTGCACATCAAGGGAGGGTTCTGCTGTTGGCGCTGGAAAAACTTGAGACTCAATGTGCTTGTGCCCTGAGCTCAGGCCCGCAGTTGCGTGCTGCTGCTGCTGCTGCTGCTCTGTCCTGCGCCCCGACCGACGTCCCCAAGGCTCCAGAGCCCAAATACTGCTCTTCAGAAGGGAGAGCTATGACGTCAAAAACTAAGAGCTAACAGATTAGTCTTTGCCACGGTGCCTTTCCGCTGTTGACAGCTTCTGAGAGACCTCCGTAATCAATAACAGTAGGTGATGCTACTTGCACAGACTGTAAATATATTTCACTGAGCGTTTTGACATTTTTGCTGATTCTGCCAAAGCTTTGGCCCTGCCCTGCAGCTCTCAGCCGTGTGAGCGATCTGTACACACGCACGCGGTAACTTAAACAGGAGACTTCTTACGTGAACAATAGTTGCAGGGCCAGAGCCCAAGCCTTAAAGATTGTTAAATATCCCCATTGATGAGTTTATAACAAAAATCATTGTTTTATACATATATTTATATGTATATCTTTGTTTAATGCAGCTGGGGTATCCTCCTCTTAGGCAAGCATCATTTACCTTACCTATTTATATGAAATGATTGCAAAGAAGTTAAAACATCTAAGAGCTTTCGATGCCTTAGAGGGATTTATAATTATAAGCTCCTTGACAGTTAAAATCTACTTAAGTAAATATGTCCATTGCTGCTGAATGTAACTTTTAATAAAGTGTGTCATTTTATATACGTCTGTCTCACTTATTCTTGGTGCTAAGGTGCGGGGAAATGTGTGTTGCTGAATTGAAGACCGCTGGGAAACCCAGGCTGGTTGCCTTGCACGGGAGACCAGGCTGTGGGTGTGCATCCGCTTCCGCTGAGCGACAGCGCAGACGGCATCGGTACAGTCCTGAATGGTCAGAGGCTGAATCCAGCAATGAAAGGGAAGATTGATTTTATTTCAGGCGCAAATTGTTCCGTTCAGGTGAACGGGTTGGATTGCCACCTTTCCTGAAGGTTGGGGGGCAGTTAGGTGTATAATTTGCTCAAGCGCTTTTTGTTTAGTCCGTAACTGGCAGGCCAGGGGCAGCCCTGGTTTAAAGCAGGCGGACGCAGGGATCCCGATGGATGCAAGTGCCACCCATGGAGAGGAACAGGCTCATCCGAACGGCCTCAGGTTTCCTGCTGGTGCCTGAGGCACGTTGGCTCTTGCTGCCTCCTCGGGTCCGATGTGAGGAGTCAGTGACTCAATGCGACGCTTTGAGCATCCTGGGCATCACGTACTGCGGTCGGCAGGAGCGAGGTGACATCCCATCCTCGTGTCCCTCAAGGGAGCAGCAGGACAGTCGCGCCAGGGACACCAGCCGGCCGTGCTCGCCAGCGGCGGAGAGCACACGGTACACACGCGGGTGTTTTGGGGGGGTCTGTGCCTGCGCCAGCCAACGGCCTCTCGAGACAGACTCGCTGGTGGTGCTTAGGAGCCTCTCACTGTCCATCACACGTCCCCGGTCCCAGTCTAAGACCTTAATTTTGGGAATCCAGCCCTCCAAAAATACAGGTGCAGAGGTTAAAGGCTTGATGTGCCTTCTTTAGCAGGGTGGGGGCTTTTGTGTGTGTCAGTGTTTTGGTGCCTTTTTTTTTTTTTGCTTTTGCTTTTTTTTTTTTTTCATATAGCTCCTTCAAGTAAAACGTTGAGAGAGACACCAGGGGTTTTCCCCTCTCTTCTCGGTGAAAGGATTGAGGAAGACAAACAGCCGACAACCACTGTCTCTTTCAACTGAGACAACTCGGGCTGAGGAAATCTGTGGTCTTGTGAAAAAAAGGAAGTGCCCTACAAACCTGTGACAGGAGAACTACAACATATAAGTGCTTTTTTTTTTTTTTTCTCCCCAGCTGTGTTTATTACAGAAAGTCAATATTTATGAGGAAAAGAATGAGGCTGCTGCTTAGTGAGAAAAAGCCTGCTCATTAATTAATTAGAAAAATCCTATTAAATAGAGCATGCTGTTGTTTCTCTGCACTTGTTATACCAAGCTGCTGAGTTTCTGAGTAGAAGTAACTTCTTTTTTATATTCTGTGGTATGATTTTAAAGCTAAAAAGGGGCTTGTTTGCTACTAGGTTTCTTAGATCGTTCTGCAAAAAGGATGTCCTAAGAGAAAATAAGGTTTTCATACAGTAAACTTTCAACCTAAGATTACAGTAATATTTAAAAAAAAAAAGCCCCCAAACCCGAACTAAGTTCCTAAGCCCAAATGGGAGCAGTTTTGCACACAGAACTGAGAACCTAATGCCGAGGTTTGTGGGGTTTTTAAATTATTTTCCCCAATGGTACATTTTAATTCAAAAGGCGTTTCAGGGAGCAAACGTCTCCCTCAGCATCAGCCGCGCAGATGTCAGCAGGCTCATGCCGCTGTGGCCTACGAGCAAATTCGGCTCCTCCGTTTCCACCGTCGCTGCTGCTGTGACAAAAGCATCTGCAGGCGAGGATGTTTCCTTTGGAAAGAGCAGGCTTGTTTTCTGGGGAGGGCTGCCAAGTTTATTTTTAAGTGGAGAAAACTGAGATTTAAGGCAGCT